AATACATGGTATTTTTAAGTAGTATTTGTAATATCATCCTATTATTTTAAAATTCTTCTTAGATATATATATTTTTTTTTGTTTCTGTATATGCTGGAGAATGTATGAATGTTACCCAGCAAATAATGATTGTTATTTCTATTTAACAGTGTGCTAGAGGTTCTAACAAGTGCAGTAAGGCAAGAAGAAGAAATAAAAGCTAGTCACATTGGAAAGGAAAGAAGTAAAACTGTCTTGTTCACAGATGACATGATAATTCTTGTAGAAAACCCTATGGAATCTACAAAAAAAGCTGCTAGAGTTAATAAGAAAGATTAGCAAAGTTGCAGGATACAAGATCAATTGAATTTTTATGTATCAGCAATGAACAATTTGAAATTAAAATCAGTACTAGAGTCGCATCAAAAACATATGAACAATTTAGGGATAAATTTGAAAAATATGTAAGACCCGTACACTGAGACCTACAAAATATTGTTGTGAGAAATGAAAGATCAGTATAAGTGAGAGATAAACTAGATCCATAAATTTAAGACTTAAGATGTCACTTCTCCCCAAATTGATGTATAGATTTTATGTAATTAAAGTAAAAACTCAAGCATGCTGTTTTTAAATATTTAATTGAAGCTGATTCTAAAGTTACATGGAAATTCAAAGTATCTAAATACCCAAAACAGTATTGAGAAAGGAGAACCAAGTTGGTACTATTAAATTTCAAAACATAAAGGATTAGTATTCTAAGAGGTGTGGTGTAAAGGTGACAAATAGATCATTGAAACAGAGTAGAGTATAGAAACAAATTCACACATAGAGATAGTGTTTTGCAAAGATATCAGAGAAATTCAGTGGGGAAAGAATATTCTTTTCAATAAATAGTGCTGAAACAATGGGAGAATCATGTTTTTAAAAAATGAACCTCAACCTTTGCCTCATACAGTACACAAAGTTGACTTGAAATGAATCACAGATCTTAATATATAAACTAAAACTACAAAATTCTAAAAGGAAACACAAGAGAAGATCTTAGGGATTTTGGAGTGGGAAAGATTTTAAAAATATAACACAAAAAATATAAACTAGAAAAAAATGAGTAAAGTGGACTTCATCAAAATTTAAAACTTTTGTTCTTCAAAAAGCACTGTTATTAAAAATGAAGCAACCAACAGACTGGGAGAAAACATTTGCAAAACATGTACCCGATATAGGACTTGTACTAGAATGTACAAAGAACTTAAGACAGTATAAATTTTTAAATATCAAGCTTAAAAATGGGCAAAATATTTGAACAGATACTTCACCAAATAAGTGGATATCAAATATGAATATCAAATATGAACATGGAAAGAGGCTTATCAGTAATCATTAGGAAAGTGAAAATTAAAACCATGATGAATACCACTGCATACCATTAGAATGGCTAAAATTCAAAATTAGTAAATGTTAGGATGTGAAGGAATGGGAACTTTCACAATTAACTGGTGGGAATGTAAAATAATTTGAACACTTTGGAAAAAATGTTTGGCAGTTTCTTAGAAATTGAACGTATCTCTAACATATGATCCAACCAGTCCACTCCTGGGTATTTAAGAGAAGTCAAAATATATGTCCACACAAAAACTTGTTGATGAGTGTTCATAGGAAACAACCCACATGTCTATCAATGGGTGAATGGATAAACAAATAGTGCTATAACCATACAGTAGAAAACTACTCAACAATAAAAGGGTAGGAACTATTGATACATGCAACAGCATGGATGAATCCCACAATTCTTATGTTAAGTGAAAGAAGCCAGGCTAAAAGAGTATATATTCCATGATTCCATTTATATATAATTCTAGAATATGAAAACTAATCTATAAATAAGTGGTTATCTGGGAAGAGGGTTATGAAAAGGGCTATGAGGAAACTTTTGGGGATGATAAATATCTTTTTTGAAAAACTTTTAGGTTTGGGGGTACACGTGAAGGTTTGTTACATAGGTAAATGTGTCACAGGAGGTTTGTTGTACATATTATTACATCACCCATGTATTAAGCCCAGTACCCAATAGTTATACCTTCCCCTCCCTCCTACCACCAAGACCCCAGTGTCTGTTGTTTCCTTCTTTGTGTTAATAAGTTCTTATCATTTAGCTCCTACTTGTAAGTGAGAATGTGGTATTTGCTTTTGTTTCTGCATTAGTGTACTAAGGATGATAGCCTCCAGTTCCCTTCATGTTCTTGCAAAAAAAACATGATCTCATTCTTTTTTATGGCTGTTGATGAATATTGTAATTGTGATGGTGATTTTACTACATCATATGGCAGAACATAAAATGACACACTTTAAATTTATGTAGTTTATAGTATGTCAGTTTTATCTCAAGCTATCTAAAAAAAACAATGACTTGAATAAAAGAAATATTTGCCTGAATAGCAGCAGTTCTTCTTTTCCTTTTTTAAAATCCAGTATATTTAAATTTAGTACATAATATTTTAAAGTAGCATGTGTAACATCAGTTTTTAAAATATCCTTTTTTCTGTTTTTATCATGTATCATTTTAAATAGAATAATTTTTTAAAAAGCCTAGCCCTGAAAGCAGGGAATGAAAGGAATGAAAGTAGCTAGTTGTACAGTTAAGTTGGAGGGAATTTTTTTTAATATGGGAAGAGTTTTAATATATTTCTTAGCTTAGGCACATGAACTGGCAAAGAGGGAGAAACTGCAGATATAGAAGATAAAGGGAGTGGGATAGGAGCAGAGTCCTTGATGGTCTAGGAGGAGGGTGGGATGCAGAGCACAGATGAGGCTACTCACCCAGACTAGATGGAAAAAATGAGGGTTAGTACACGTATGGATACACCCTGGGACCAAAGGATGACTGTGTTTATCCCTAAACCACATTATTTTTAGTGAAAAAGGAAAGTAAACAGTTGAGAAGAGGAAGGTAGGAATGAGAGGCTTACAGTGAATTATTAGAAGTTTAGATTGGTTACATTTGAGAAGAGAAGAATCTGACCAGGGACATACAAAAAGATCAAGAAAAGCTTCTGTTATAAATGGGAAACCTTTAAAGAAAATCAGAATTTTATTAAAACAAAAATAAGCTCATTTTATATTGTTGTTCTGCAACTTAGTTCTTTCACTTCATAATGTGTCTCGGAGATCTTTTCGTGTCAGTACAAATGGACCTCTTGCTCATTTTAATATCTGTGTATTAGTATTTCGTATATGGATGTACCATAATTTATGTAACATATTCAGTTGTTTCCAACTTGGCACTATTAAATAATTGCTGTTGTGAATATTCTTGTATATATCTATAAGGTGGGAGATGCTTTTGCACATGTAAAACTGTTTCTGATGCTTGATAACCTGGAAGTAGAATAATTTTGTCAGAGATTATGAACATTATACATTTTGTTGGACATTTCAAATTGCCATCCAGAATGGTTATACTGATATAATCACACGAATTGAGATAATTCATTTCTCTGTACTATCATCAGTTAGTGTTATTATCAGAGTGTTACTATCATCAGAAAGTGTTATTTCCTTTTATTTATGTCAATCCTGTGGCCAAAAAATATTTCCTTTTAAATTTGCAATTCTTCCTGTTAGTGAAGATGAACATTTTTATCACACGCTTATAGGCCGTTTCTATTTCTTATGTGAATTGCTCGTTCTTATCCTTTGCCGTTTTTTACTAGGTTGCCTTCCTTACTGATTTGTAGGAGTTCTTTAAATGTTATGGACCTCTTGTCTATAACGTATGTACAGGTATTTTCTTTCAGGCTTTTAATTTTACAAGTTTCAAAATTTGATATGGTTAAATCTTTTGTTCTTTTCCTTGATGCTTGCTGGATATTGAGTTTCACTTAGAAATGCCTTCCCCACTTCAAGATTATGTAGATTTCCCCCTAAAACTTGTATAGTTGGGTTTTTAAAAAATATTTTATCACTTTAATCAACTCAAAATTAATACATGCGAGTGATGCGAGGTAGGGTACTATCATTTTAGATTCAGTATCAAAAATACATATTTTAAGGCAAAATATTTTTAGGTAATTCTGGAAAGATAATAGAGGTAACTTTTTTCCCCATAAGCGATAACTTCTTAGGAGTAAAGAAAACACTTTTGTATGTTTCTATATGTGAAGCAGATACATATTGTGAAGTTCATTGTAACAGGGCAGATTGGTAGCCTGTTAATATTCTCATTACTTAAGACCACTAACTTTTCCATCTAATAAAATTATTAGAAGCATAGATTTTGTTTCAGCATATGACAAACATCAGGGAGATAGATGTCTGATGGCAGTCAGTGCCTGTAGGTATTCTAGTTCATAGTAATGACAAATCTTTTAAAAAGTAGATGATTAACTACAATGATTAAGATACACAGAAAGACAATGAGAAACAGCAAGAGGAGGTAGAAAAGGAAAGAAATAGAAAAAAACCTAACAAATCACTGAAGAGACAAAAAAGAGAAATTAACATTTTCCTTGTGAGGGGAGGTTTTTTTTTGAGGCAGGGTCTCGCTCTTTTGCCACGCTGGAATGCAGTGGCACGATCTCGCTCACTGCAACCTCTACCTTCCAGGTTCGAGCAATTCTCCTGCCTCAGCCTCCCAAGTAGCTGGGATTGCAGGTACGTGCCACCTATTTTTAGTAGAGATGGGGTTTCGCCATGTTGGCCAGGCTGGTCTTGAACTCCTGACCTCAGGTGATCTGCCTGCGTCAATCCCCCAAAGTACTGAGATTACAGGCGTGAGCCACTGCGCCCGGCCCATGAGGGGAGGTGTTAGGTTGTTTCAGGCAACCTTAAAAATTATCTGAGGCCTCATAATAATAGTAGTATGGTTTTGTTATGTTTATTTAGTTTTTGTCTTTTGGGGATGTGATGGACTTCTGCCGCCTTAGTGGGTTTATGTTTTATCTTTTTTGATAGGCTATCACATGTATAATATTAAATTGGCTTGGGATTCTTGCATTCATAGTTCTTCATTGTTTCTTTAGGCAGTTGAGAATTTTGAACCAGCAACTCAGAGAACAAGAGAAAACTCATAAGCCATCTGGTGCTGTGGATTGCAACCTTGAATGTAAGTAAAAGAACTTTAAGGATTGATAAATTATTTGTGGCTCTGGAAATGTTGATAAAGAATTGAGCTTTTGTAATTACTTTGAGGGGATAAATTTAAAATATTGTAGAAACATAGGAAAATAAAAGATGCTATCACTTCCCAATAATATACACCTTTTTTTTTGAAAAACAGGAGTGTGTTTCCTTTTACATATCTTCTCTTCATATATAATTGATGTATTTAACAAATACTTACTGAATACCTACTGTGTGCCAGGCACAAATAGAACTATGTATGTACTTTTTCTTTTTTAAAAATGAGATCACACTGTATATACTTTTCCACAGCTTCTGTTTATGCACTTAACATATAGTGGACATTTTTGTCTATCAAAATACATAATTATGCATCTTTCTCTTTACGAATTACTTGGATATTTTGCTTATCCAGGTCTACCATAATATGGTCCTCTGCTAATAGTACTTTCCCCCTTTTTCCCAGTGCAAACAACATTGCAGTGAAAATCTTTGTATATGTCTTCATGCATATATGTCAGCTTTTTTTGTTTGTTTGTTTGTTTTGAGATGGCATCACTCTGTGACTCAGGCTGGAGTTCAGTGGTGCGATCTTGGCTCACTGCAAGTTCTGCCTCCCAGGTTCAAGCGATTCTCTTCCCTCAGCCTCTCAAGTATCTGGGATTATAGGCGCCTGCCACCATGCCTGGCTAATTTTTGTATTTTTATTAGAGACAGGGTTTCATCATGTTGGCCAGGCTGGTCTTGAACTCCTGACCTGAAGTGATCCACTCACCTCGGCCTCCCAAAGTGCTGGGATTACAGACAATGAGCTACCACGCCTGGCCAGCGTTTTTGCAGAATAGATGTATAGCAGTAGAATTGCTGAGCCAAAGGGTATATACAGTTGTAATTGTGACAGATATTGCCAAATTGTCCTTAACTTAGATCACAGAACTTAATAAAGAAACTATAATAGTACCAGAAGAAAAGATAAGAATTTGTATTTTTAAATTTTTTTTGGGGGGAGGGGGGAGGGACTTTTCCTAAGCCTGTCAAAGACTCAAATGCCACAGAGGAACAGGTTGATAAAATATGTCCCCAGAAAACTTTTTCAGTTTCTACATAGCAAAATTATAAATACATTCAAAACACATAAGCAAAATGGAGAAACAATATATGACACGATAAAGCCTTAATCTTCTTAATATATAAGTATATCTTATAAAGCAATAAGAAAAAAATATGATTACCCAACAGAATGAGCACTTTATAAAAGTGTTAAGTTTCACCAGAGTGATTCAGAAGTTATCACTGTATTTCCACTGTTAACCAAAGGTGAGGAGAGGGAGAGGGTAGGAGAGAGGAGGCCTAGAGGACAAGTAGGGAGATCAGTAGTTGCCACTTTAAATAGCTTCTGTTCTTTATATTATCTCGTCATTTATCTTATTGTTTCTTTGAGATCATTACTGTTCATAATTACGTGTTTGTTATCAGCTCTGTGAGAACAGGGACCATGTCTGTGCTGTTCATCTCTGTATATTCAGATTCTAATACAATACCTCACACATAGTAAGCATTCACTAAGCATGTAGTTGCTCAATAAATGGTGCCATATACTTTTATCGCCTTGAAAAAGAACGTGATAGATCTGTGTGTTTGTATACAACAGTCTTAAGGCAGAAAAAGGCAACGTTAGAAATTGTGTATGGTGTGTGTGTACGTGTGTGTGTGTAGTGTAATTAATACCATATGCAAAAGTGTTTTCACAAAAGATACGAAAATTAATAGTGATTGTCTTGGGGACAGAGAGGAGGAGTGGGAGGGAGATTCTGCTTTGGGAATCATTTGGTATCATTAACATTCTGTGGTGTTTGAATTTTTTTTTTTTTTTTTGAGATGGAGTCTCGCTCTGTCACCCATTCTGGAGTGCGGTGGTGCAATCTCGGCTCACTATAAGCTCCGCCTCCTGGGTTCACACCATTCTCCTGCCTCAGCCTCCTGAGTAGCTGGGACTACAGGCGCCCGCCACCACGCCCGGCTAATTTTTTTGTATTTTTAGTAGAGACGGGGTTTCACTGTGTTAACCAGGATGGTCTTGATCTCCTGACTTCGTGATCCGCCCGCCTCGGCCTCCCAAAGTGCTGGGATTACAGGCGTGAGCCACTGCGCCCGGCCAGTGTTTGAATTTTTTAACTTTGTACATGTTTTCTTTCTTTTAAAAGGATTATGTATTCTTTCTTTTAAAAGGGTTAAAAAAATTAATGCTTAAAATGTCAACTGGAAAAGAAAGGTATGATTTCTGCCAATCAATTTTTAAAAATATATGTAGTATTTATGTAGAACTGCTCATGCAATTAATTGTTAAACAAAATCAATAAATTTCAGGCCTTTTTTTTTTTTTTTAAGAAACAGGTATTTTCCAAGTTTGTACTTTTTCGGTTTGGGAAACAACTATTTGATCCGTTTTGTCTTACAGTGTTTTCTCTTCAGTCATTGAATATGTCACTGCAAAATCAATTGGAGGAGTCACTAAAGAGCCAGGAGTTACTGCAGAGTAAAAATGAAGAGCTCTTAAAAGTGATTGAAAATCAGAAAGATGAAAACAAAAAATTTACTAGTATATTTAAAGACAAAGATCAAACTATACTTGAAAATAAACAGCAATATGATATTGAGATAACAAGAATAAAAATTGGTATGTATTTAGACAATAGTTATTGTCACATTTTTTAAAAGGAATAAGGAAACTGACACTTTTGTTGTTTTAGAATTGGAGGAAGCCTTAGTCAATGTGAGGAGCTCCCAGTTTAAGTTAGAAACTGCTGAAAAGGAAAACCAGATATTGGGGATAACGTTACGTCAGCGTGATGCTGAGGTGACTCGACTAAGAGAATTAACCAGGTAAAATTTACTTCTTTTGAATAACTCATGCCTTTTTTATTTTTAGATGTTTTTGTAAACTTCAAAATAATGTCAGACCTGTTATCTCACCCATATCTTTTTCTCTTACTTTGCCAATGTTTTTGCTAATTCCTAATGATGTTTTCTTCTGTTCCAAGTAAATTAGTTTAGAAATTTCAAATCTGGCTAAATGCTTTTTTTAAACCATGTGAATCAGGGGTCCCTGATGAGAAGCTGAAGACTTGTATAGCAACACCGTTAAGCCTTCTGGTTCTGAAGCTAGAAAGATCTGACTGGAATCCCAGCTCTACCACATATTAGCTGAGTTAATTTCTCTAAACCTCATTTAACTTCTCTAAACCTCAGCTGTAAAGTAGGGACATGAATAGAGTTGTCATGGGAAACTAAGAAATCATTCATGAAAAGTACTTAGCATGGTAAGCCCTCATGTCATATCATCTTGGGTAAGTCAGTTAGCCTCTTTCAGCCTTATTTCATCAGTTAAATGAGGGGGTTGGCAGTAGCCCTTAAGATCACTTCATTCCCTAACAGTATTTTTCTAAAATAAAATTAGCTCACTCAATTTTTCTATGATACTCACTTACAAAGTTCAGTTTTCTTTTGAGATCTTTGCTAAGAATTGGATTCTCAACTGCTTTTTTAAAGTTCTAGGAGAGAAGTCAGTTACCTTAGGCCTAAACATCAGCAGATCTGACTTTGTCTTTGAATGATCCTAGAAGTTCCAAATATAAAATAATCTTGAATATAAAGTAATCTTCCTTGTGTTTCCAATAAACAGATCCATTTTGAATTTTAAACTTTCCCCCACATTTTGAATGATAAACTTGTAGGGAATCGGATGAAACAGTAATATATAATATTTAATTTATTAATTTAGCTTTATAAATGTATTTGAAATTAATAATCTGTTCACATGGAAATATTGCCCTTTTTCCACATTTATATTTCATAGAATGTTTGCATTCAAACTTCTGTTTAACAATGGGAAAAGCAAGACATTTTTTGTAATCATAGAATTATAATTGATTATGTTCTAGTCAGAGGTTCTGAATATTGGCTTATACCAGTCTTATTCAAAATAAAGTAATAGAATGTCCCTTCTTATGAAAGTCTTGGTAAGGTATCCCAAGGAACATGTGTCCTTTTTTCTGAGGAATAATTTCGGGGTGAGAACTTTGTTAGTGTCAGGTATTTATACTAAGAGAAACCAGTAAAAAAAAAAAAAGGCCACATATGGTGTGATTCCATTTATGCGAAATGTCCAGAATAGGCAAATTGACAGAGACACAAAGCAGATTAGTCGTTGCCAGGGGCTGGAGGAACCAAGGGGTGTAGGATGAGAAGTGACTGCTAATGGGTAGTTTCATTTAGGAGTGATGAGATGTTCTGAAATTAGATAGTGGTGACAGTTCTCAACTCTATGAATATACTAATAACCACCAAATTGTGCACTTAAAAGGAGTAGATTTTGTGGTATGTAAATTATATCTGTAGAGTGCAGTGGCTCATGCCTGTAACCCCAGCACTTTGGGAGGCTGAGGTGGTTGCTAAATACCCACATTGACAAGCGAAAAACTTATTGTAGTGCTTTACTGACATATGTAGGAATATCTTTTCTTTATTTTTATTTATTTATTTATTTATTTATTTATTTATTTATTTTTGAGACATAGTCTCGCTTTGTCGCCCAGGCTGGAGTGCAGTGGTGCTATCTTGGCTCACTGCAAGCTCCGCCTCCTGGGTTCACGCCATTCTCCTGCCTCAGCCTCCCCAATAGCTGGGACTACAGTTGCCCTCCACCACGCCTGGCCTAATATTTTTGTTTTATTTTTTTTGAGACGGAGTCTCGCTCTATCGCCCAGGCTGGAGTGCAGTGGCCGGATCTCGGCTCACTGCAAGCTCCGCCCTCCAGGTTCACGCCATTCTCCTGCCTCAGCCTCCAAGTAGCTGGCACTAAAGGAGCGCCCGCACAAAAAAAATGGTGCGAAAAACTCCGCCCCCAGCTACTTTTTTGTAATTTTCATAAGAAGAGTGGGGGGTTTCACCTGCTTCGCCCAGGATGGCTCGATCATCCTGACGTCGTGATCCACGACTCGGCTCACCACAAGTGTGGGATTACAGGCTCTGGATGCCACCAAGCCGGGCCTAATTTTTTATTTTTTTTTTTTTTCCTACAGTAGAGACGGATTCACTGTGTTATCCGGATGGTTTCACTCCTATCTGTGAATCCGCCCACCTCGCCTCTCAAAGTGCGGATTACAGGGCGTGAGCCACGGCCGCGGTAGCTCTTTTTTTGTAATGCAGTGACCAGTGGTGAAACATGTGAGTAGCATAATTGACAAATCTATTCAGGCATTGCAATGCATCTTACCAAGAAAGTTTGTAACAAACAACATAGGAAAATCTTTCAGAGTAATAAGATATCAATTTAATTCCTAGAATTAGTAGAAATGAACGCCCAACAGAAAAAGGATCTAATGAGTTCACAGCTAGTTACCTGCTTATCGGCCTAGCGCCAGGATTTGGATTCCCCTCTTCAGCTTTGATTTCTGTTTTTAACTGGACGCTTTTCCTCTGAACTAAAGATGCCCCATATTTACATTACAGATTTACATTACTACCAAATGTGATTGGAGATAACTTTGTACTCTCATTCTTCTCAAAAAACATAACAAATCTGCCCTTCTTCCATTTCTATTCGCAATGAAACAATGTAATTGGAGGCTACTTTTTTTCCTTAACATTTATCCTAACAAAATTAAAGGAACTAAACATTACAACCATACTATTTGCCTTTAAGAAACACTGTCTAGATATTAGAATACAGACTTTAGCTGCTCCATTTTCACTAAGATCCAAGAATTTCTATCAGTTTTTTACACTTTTGTTTAGCACAGTTTTTATGACTGAGGATAAATTCACTATAGCCTCGATGAACGACCTAACATCACCTGTGCAGAATTGACTAGCACTACTTAATCGAATGATTGTAAAACATGATGGGAAGGCTAAGCACAAATCTCAATATCAGAAGTCATAATAAACACTATCCCAATTTCCCAAAGATTTATAACAGCTCTTCAAAAACATATCTATACATTCATTGATGTCAGTTTTCATACTTTTTATTTGCGAGGCAGATCATCCGCATCATGTCACCCAGGCTGAAAGTGGTGTGTCAATCACAGCTCACTGTCACCTCCAACCTCTCTACGCTCATGCAAATCTTCACCACTTCAGGCTCCAAGTACTGGCGACCAACACAGTGCACATGCCCACTCATGCCCAGATTTTTTTGTTTTATTGTTTTTGTTTTTACTTTTAGTAAGACGACGCAGTCTCCGCCATGCTGTCCTAGGCCTGGTCCTGTGAACTCCTGGGCCGAAGCAATCCTCCACCACCTTGCCCTACAAAGTGCTGGCATTAACCAGCACACCAAGCCATTGTTTTCTGTTCTTTAAATTAAAAAAAAAAAAAAAAAAAAGAAGTCTGAGCTTAATTATATCTAAATTCATCCACATTGTTGATTCATAATTTCTTTGGTGACACTCTATGCAATCCAGTATTATAGGTGGGTTGCTGTGACCATTTTAATTTTACTTTAGGCATTAGAGTGTAAAGCACCAGCATCTGACAGTACAGATAAATCTACTTGCTCTTCCACTCCTTCACTCTTCCCATAGTCACCTTAGTCAGATAGGCATATGGTTTTTGTATGTGTGTTTTAAATAATCTCTCAGAAAAGAGATTCTGTAAAATTTCTGAATGTCTTTCTCAGACTTTGTGGGAGGAGTAAGGACTGAAAGGTACATGTACAAGGTCTAAAGAAATACCACAAACCATCTTTCTTGTCCTTCTCCAACCTTTAATGATTTTAAATGTGCCTGTATCACCTTTTTTTTCAGATCTTTCTACAACATGTTATACAACCATTAAAATGTGAAGAAAATTAATGTTTTAAATACTAATTTAAATAATTATATTTAAAAATATATAAATTAAATATATTTAATATTATTTAAGTAAATAAGTAGTGAATAGTTTCACAAAGCATTCTTATAAGTAGCCTAGAAAGGACCCTGCATTTGTTTTGAAAGGGTGCCAATTTTCTAAGTATTAAAAATCAGTGTATTTAGCTGAATTATGTATAATAGAAATACCAATATATCCACTTGTCACTGTTTAGGTGCTCATATTCCTTCCTTTAAAATTTTAACATTTTCGTATCTCTTTACTTACAGAGAGTTTTAATTTCAGAGATAGTGGTGAGTCATATTCTGTTTATACATCAGAAGATTAGTAATTGCTATTAATTTCCAGAAATTAAGCCTTTTTAAATGTCATTGTCTCTTCCTTTCTTCATCTCTGATTTTATCTATAGCAACAATAATTAAAAAAAAAAAAAAACTGGAAAGAAACCTCAATATAAGTATTCCTTTACTGAAAATAAACAAAAATAAAAATTTCAGTATGCAGTCTGATCAAATTAATTAGTGGGTCATTATTCATTACAGCATTTCTTTAAAGGTATGTTTCTCCAGCATATTTTTGTGTTTTAGTAACAACTCATTAGTTTCTTTTAAAATTAATATAGTTGACAATATTTTAATTATATTTATGGGGTACAGTGATGTTTTGGTATATGTAAACAAGAAGAAATAACTAAATCTAGCTAATGTCCATCATCTCAGTTATTATATTTTGGAGTGAGACATTTTTAGCAATGTTGGATTATTATTAAGTATAGTCACCCTAGGCTGGGCATGGTGGCTCATGCCTGTAATCCCAACACTTTGGGAGGCCAAGGCAGGCAGATCACCTGAGGTCAGGAGTTCGAGACCAGCCTGGCCAACATGAGAAATACTAAATTTTTTAGATATGACCTTGAAGGCACAGTTATCACAAACAAAAATAGACAAATGAAATCGTGTCAGACTAAAAGCCTTTTGCACAGCAAGGGGAACAATCTAACAGAGTGA